ACCCACACACACACACACACAAACACAAACACAAACACAAACACACAAACACACACACACAAACACACACACACACACACACACCACAAACACACAAAGCGCACATGCTCACATAGGACAACCAAATGCAAGCTGCAACAAAACAGAAGGTTTACAGTAGTCCCCTTTTGGCAGCAAGTTGTTCTTTGAAAGCAATGCAATTGTGCTGAACACGGTTACAACAACACATCATCGTATTTATCCACACCTTGCCCGCAGCGCTCTCGAACAGTTCCCTGATGTACCGCCATTCCAATCCTTGTTTTCAGTCCGAAGCGTAGCATTGCTTTCCAGGTCTGACTAAGCTCACAGCCCTTCTTGATGTTGCTCACTTTGACCTAAGGGGAAATATGCACTTGATCATTCAGAAACAGGCCCAGATTTTGCTTGCAAATCAATTTCAAGCCAACGGACCACGGATTGTCGAGCACTGAAATCAAGGAAATTGGCGGAGACGACTTGGCCCGAGCTCCAATTGTATCTGGAAGCTGCCTGCTCATCTTGACTTTGCCTACGTGGGGGTTGATCCAAAGCTCCTTTGCATGAGGTGACCGGCAAGGACACCTCAAAAAAGATGACCTTCACTGCTAAATGGGACAAGTTGCCCATGGTCCTTTTGGGGCGAACGGAAGATTGATCAACCCCCACGTCCCCATGTCAGAGGTTCGCTTGAATGCGACCCCCTTCAGAGCGAGCGCCCGTGGAATGGCGAAGAAGAATACCCTCTGAAGGCCCATCTCTAGCTGCGCAGTTTGCAATCCACCACTTGCGTTCTGGATGTGATTGCATTTCAATCGCTCTATCGAATCTACTGGTTCTGCAAACACCATCAAACACTCACATCAAAACACATTTCCAAAACAAAAGCAGCAGCAGTGCATTTCATCTAGCCGGCTCCACAGGTTAACTGCTGAGCGGTGCCCGAAACAATGGTGTCGCGTACATCGTTCGACGAACTGTCAGTGCGCAATGAACATGCGAACCATTTACCTGGGTGGATGAAAATGAGCAGAAATGCACAGCTTGTGCGCGGTAGGAATTGTAGACAGTTTCCATCAAAGTCTCTACCAGCCAACGGATTCAAATTACAAAGGGAGCCACTTGCACCGCGACATGCTTGTCCATTGCGATCGCACTCTATTGGACAAGCCCTTGCATTTTCACCAAACTTGGAAGGTCATAAAAACTTCTACTCTCTTGAGAATGCTATGATTGTTCAAGCCAGGTAATGCTGTCTCATCTGATTTAAAAGTGTTTTTACTAGCGGACCGGAAACTAGCGCCAAATCCAAATCTATTTACTGGAATGCGCCTTGTGTCTACAAACCCCGCAAACATGGGCGCACAGCATATATATATATATGTATAATATGCACACATAAACACAAACTTTCATTGCGGATGTTTGTCTGCCAGGAGCGCATCGTTTTGGATGAGCAAGTGTCAAAATAGTACATGCAGTTACTGTCCAATAAGTCACGCAACATATCTGGCTATTTGCATGGGACAAAGTAGCAAACGATGGTGCAATTTTATTCACTTGGCCAAACATGACACGCAGCCAAGCTGGCCATTTGCGCGAATCTGCGCAAAAGACGTGGGCGGCACGTTAAAATCAAGCATTCTATCTCGCCACTCGGTGCATGAGTCATTGCGCACTTGCTACTTCGTACTGCCGTTGCTACCAAGCAGTTTGATGCTATGCCATGTGTTTGTACGTTGAAGCTGCCATGCAATGCCCTCTAACTTCCAGTCTGTCGGTATCAATCCAGGAGCGACTTCTGTGGAACTCGCACCAAGGGCTTTGACGATGTTGATCATCTCCCACTGGATATCACGCCACGGGGCTCCGTTAACGCCCATCATGCCGTCAAATGGGAGTCCCAAGAACCCGGCAGTACGAGGACGGCTGAAGGTCCCATGAGAAGCCATATCGCCTTAGCCATCTCTCATTGCATTGGTCAGCAGCGGCATGAGATCACTGACGGCCTTTGGCTTTCTGCACCTCTCGCGGCTTCCACTTTTCAGCCAACCTGCACCAAGTGTGGAATTCCTTGCGCATGTGCCACGATCGAATTGTTAATCATACCAAACAACCGCTCAGCAGTGCAGACTTGTCACCTCTCGCTGGTCTCCTTGCTGATGATGCAGCTGCATGTTATCTTTTGCGATTTCCAGCCTGCCACCCCGTCCTAGACGTTCTTTGTTCTCCACAGGACCTGGGTGCTTGTATCGCGCTGGCAATGCTGTTGAGAACTTGGATTCCTAAACAGTTTTGGGGGCCACAAAGACTTTGCTCATATCGTCTTCAACTCAACGTTTAACTAACTTAGCAGAATGCATCGATCCATGCCACTGACACTCTGAGTGTTGTGCTTGCTTTATTTGACCTGAGATATTTTTTTCCCCAAGTCTCTCAAGTAATGATGATCATCACTGTGCAACAGCTCCAACATTAGGCTTTTGTGTGTAAGTGTGTCCTTGTCCTCAGATATTCATGGTCATAGCAAATTAGTGAAGATGCCAAAAGACGCCAGCACAACTTGATCTCATTGACACAGAGTATCAAGCAATGAATGGCGTGTGATTTGCACAGGCTGTAGAGCTGAATAAGCGACCAGCTCTCTGGGCAACCTTGGTTCCCTAGGGAGCTCTGGTGGTGGACGTTCTCGTCTTTTGCGACTTGGAGCCTGCATTTGGACGCATTTGGCGCGGCAGTCCGGCTCAATGCTTCGCGTCGCAGCCTCCGTCTCCTCCAGTGCACCATCCTGGCATGGCACAAGGTTCAACGCCAGCAGCAGCCCAAGGGGCGCGCGCCAGCAGTTGCTGCTTGCGCTTCTCGGGGTCACGCACACCTGGAATCAAAAACATCGAGTTGAGAGAAACCCAAAACACCATCCTGCTGGATTTGGAGTCGTGACTGCTCTGTCCGCGTTGGCAAAAGGGGAGCTGGTCTCGTGAAATGCGTTCACTTACGTATGCGCTCCATGAATGCTTGCCGAGCTCAGCACCGGCGTCTAATGACTCTCGGCTTTCCGTACGTGAGGGACCTCGCCAAAACTTGGGCCCTCGCTCCTGAACCAAAGCAAGACTTGCCTCTTTCGTCTTTGTCGCTTGCTCGAGTCCTCTCACAGGGCGGCAAAAAAAAGCAGTCTTGTCGACTTGTCACTGGCTGGTTGCGCAGAGCCAGTTGCACAGGCAAGTTCACCCTTGCAACACAGGGCAGTAACAGGGGAAACGTAAACACATAGACTCCTCTTGGGCGGCGGCTCGGCAGTGTCACTGAACTCACGCACCTGACCAGCCCCCTGACCCCAGGACATGCAAGTCACGCAAGTCTCGACGCCAGGACATGCAAGTCACGCAAGTCTCCAGGAAGGTGACATGTGCTAAGAATCTCACTGGTTTTCTTTCGCCCCTGTCCTTAGCAAAGACAACCAGCCGGCTAGAGCCAGTCAAAGTGCATTGGTGACTCTCCGAATGCTGAGAATGCATCTATGCGCTCATCAAGCCTCAGCGAGCCAGCTAACAATTTTCGGACACTGTTGCTAAGGGACATTCTGAAAACACTGTGCTAGTTTCTGACCAAACCTGATGAACCTTCATGTTGGCAAGCGATTGACAAACGGGTAGGAAAAATGGAAACGCGTTCAAATATCCAGAGTCCCAGGGCAGGACATCGCAACATCGGGGAACCTTTCTGGGCAAGGAGTAGAGGAACAAATGGCACCCCTTCACTCTAGGTCCTATCCATGACCCATCATTTGGGCGTGGCTCAAAATCAAACCTCTGGGTGTTTTAGTCTTTGGCTCCATTTGCCAAGGTGTCATTTTGGTACATGTTTTTGACCCACAGCCACTTCTGAAAGGGGAGCTTAGCAATCATCTCACATTATGGAAAGTGCATGATAGGCAACGCCAATGATGCACCCTAGGTCCTCCAGTAGAGAGGTTAAAATAAGGGTACCAACTTTCTTCTGTAGTCTATTTTAGTAGGGAACCCTCCACCAAACCTAGCGGTCACCCACTTCTACGTAAACCAACCCGTGCCTCTGAAGTCTTTGCCCCACCAAGCAGAAGATCGACTCAACGCTGCTAATGGCTGTCTTTTTCTACCGCAAAATTTGCGCCACGGATATTTTCCATTGCTTTTCTTTTTCTTTAAGCCACAGCCAAGAGATATTTTTCCCCAAAAAAAAGACAGACCCCAGTACAATCATGACGTGTCAGCCTTGTTTTGACGACTCCAAGGCTGATTTCGCAAATGATCCTACAATCTATCATAATCTTCGTAGTAATAACGGCGGGTCGAACTGCATGCCTGTACTTGGCCTCCGGCTTCCGGCGAAAAGCTGCCTGAGCAAGTTGCTGACTCGTACCCTTCCTTTGGAATTGATTTTGTTGACAGCAACCAGCTGCATTAACTCCTGAACCATCCATAAATCCAGTGCTGCAACATCCACGTGAGCTGCGAAATGCATTCAAGTCAACCACTAGGAATACACAATTCAGTGCAAGACACCAGCAAGTCTTCTGTCTTCGCCTTTCCATTTCTGGCCTCAGAATGCCCATGGGTGCAATTCATGCGATGTGTCACAGACTGACCCATTTATACAAAGGTTTGCGCGGTGCCTATTCGGCAACCAATCTGGAAAGGTCCGCGTGCATTGTCAAGAGTTTTCCGCCATTGCGATGAGTATCCCAAAGCTGAGCCGTTGACAGTCATAGCATGAACCTCGACGTGCGCACGGTGCACGGTTCGAAGGCTTCTTCCTCTGAGTGCGACGCGCGCGAGGCTCACACACACCAAATCCATTCGCGGCGCGGCGCGCCGCGCAAGCGGATCTGTTGCGCCAAGCAATACATTTGGATCGCAATGAGACCACTCACGAACAGATGTGTACATGCACGTATGTCTGCCTGCTTGTCTGTCAATCTGGGGGTGACAAATGCCATGTTGCTTTTATAGCCAATTCAATGGCTGCGCAGAGCCCAGGCTCGCTCCCCTGCAATGCAAGAAGACGGCGGCTTTGCCTTTCTTCCCTTTCACCGGCCCGAAAACGGGCCACAAACAGACACGTTTGCTCCAGGTTTCCCTGCTCTTGAGATTCTTGGGAAGGCAACCCGAGTCATGACTCGCATTGTGCGAAGCCATGCAAGGATCAGATTCCGCCCAGCAGTCAAAGCAAGGGAAGGCTTCCTTGCGACAACCGGCCCAATGCATGCTCCCTAGGTGATGCCGGTTTGAGGCATCCGCTTGCAAAGCAAATGTCGAATTAGCAAGCTGCATTCAACAGACTTGCAAGCTATTGCAATTCACACCATTTTTCACAATTCTCAAGCAGCCAAACTGAGCTGCTTGAGCACGAAAAGAGGTCAAGCCATCACAGGTTGCCTGCGAGAAACACCCCTCAGTTGGGGCATTGATCTGCCACGCCGCGAACATCAACGAATGGGTGTGTCTTTTGCCGAGGGTACCTTTTTTCTTGGCGGTGTCAAAGGGAACACCAACAAGCAGAACCGCCGTTTCGTTGGGCCCAACTCCAAAAAAAAGACACACCCGAAAAAACTCGACGTACGCCGCGAACCGGGCACCGCGCACCGCCTGCGATGACTGCGGAGCGAAGACGCGCGCTGGGCAACGGAGGCAGCGCTTGCCAGCCGCTGGACTGAGAGTAGTACTCCACCTTGGCCTGGGCCTGGAGACTTGATCAGCCAGCTGTGGTTTCAATTGAGTCAAAATCAAAACCCGCTTTTTTGATCAGTGAGTCAAAATCAAAACCAGCTTTTTTAACCTGGTCGTGATCCCGGAACCATGCTAGAATTTAGAAGGCGGAGATCCGCAGCTGTTTCTGGTAAGGGGATCGTCCCTTACCTTCATCTACCCGGGTTTTGATTGTGACTCAATTTTCGACCGCAAGGTAGACGCCTTGAACCCAGTGGTTGATTCCCCCAAATGGAAACCCTCTTCTGGTTTAACCCTAGCTTGCTAGTCAAAAAGTGGGACCCGGTCAGCAGCTAGCTGAGATTCACAGATCCATGCCAGCCTCAGAGGTGATGCCCTTGCCCCCAACAATGACCAGGCCATCCTGGTGCAAAGTTCTATCCCGCGCCGAAAACGAGAAAAAAAACCCAGACGCCGAGGCCTCAAATGTGCACGCGGACATCTGCTGTCTTGCAGTCAACATTGGAGGCAGCGGAGACCAAGATGGCTTGCAGGCCCTGAGTCTCTTCGCAACGAATGTCGAACAAGACTGGACGTCAAGACCCAGGCGTCCCTTGCTGGTCCTGGTCAATGACTGTCGCACGAATCAAAAAAAAGAGACTCACCTGCCTCATATCCCAGAACTGCTCGTTCTGCAAAGGTCAAGGCTTGACCACTCAGACCAAGGCCTACCGCAGCATGACAAACACACCATAGCCTCCGCATGTCTAGAGCTCAGAGACATATTCAAAGGACACAAGGGGCTCAACAAGTACTTCTGCTAGCATTGCTCGCAAATTCCGCCCAGCCTGCAAGCTCCCAAGCTGCTCTTTACGTGCGTGATGTCACAACACTACGGAACCCGCCAGCAACAATTGCTCTCTCGGTATTTCACGCCCGTTTTAAGACTTCTATCATGCACCTCCCAGCATTCCTAAGAACTGACACTTGATAACAAATGCTTTCGGCGCCAACCTCAAGGCAACTCGCAATTATGGCTGACAGTCCTTACGGGAGACTGCACGGGTCCATGTCAATGTAGCAAGACATGATGTTTACACACATGATCCGAATGCGAATTCTGCAATCTTTAACCATCTAGCTTTCTAGTCAATATTGCTGTGGCTCAGATGTGTTCGGGTCAAATGCTGACATAGTTCTGCATGGCACATGCTCACATCCCAGCCTCCGAAGCAGTACACTTGATCTCCGGCCTCCTTGGCCGCGGAAGTTCAATATCACGGGTACATGAAACAGAGAGAGGCTGAGCTCGGCCACTGTCAGCACCGCCACAGAGCCACATAGGGGCGAGCGCAATGTTGGCAGCAAATGCCACGTGTTGACCTCTGTGAGCAGAAAATCCCTCAGCCCATTCTTCCCCATCTGGCGATGGCTCAAAAAGAAGGTACCCAAAACGGAACCTGGGCAAATGGAACCAAAGACTCAAACCTGCGGTTTGCCCCTTCTGTTAAGTGTGAGCCACACCCAGTGACCAGGCGAAAGAAAAGAAATCGCCTGGGCATCGTAGACTTCCACCGATGCTGCAGCCCCTGCCTTCCGAAGGCACCGTTCTGCTTGACTCGTGAGCCCCATTTGGCTGTTGTGGTCAAAACCGTTTTGGGATCCCATTTTGGTTGGTAGGTGAATTCACCACCCATTTTAGAATCCATTTTAGTGGGGATTGGGATGTTCACTGGGGGTACGATTTGGACTCCGCTCAGTTCAAATCCTACTGCAATCCTTCTGACACCGTGTGCTTCATTATCCTGATGAAGCGCCGGTGACTCACGTAACCTTGAATTCGAAAATCCCGTTTGTCCAACTAGTGAACTTTTTCAGTGGGGTTCCGACTTGCGAAACCCACCTGACAGCATGGTCTCTTTCAGTCTGGCAAAATGCCAACAGTTCGGTCGTTCGATCAGAACTTTCCGGCAGTAAACAATTCAGCGAAGCTGGTGCCTATGAGAGTTTATGGGGAAGCTGTGTGCCGGAGAGCAAAACAACAATGGTTCAGCACTTTGGTTTGGAACTGGCGAAACAAATCCACGCATGTAGTCTCCCTGTTGTTTGTCAGGATGAACTGGGGGACTTAAAACATGGCCGAAGCAGCCCAGAACGAGCACGCCTAAGAGGTGTCTTGCACTTCTGATATGTGTAGCTCCTCCCTTCAGCAAAGTCCAGACTCTCCCTAGGTCCTCGAGTAGGGAGGTTAGAATAAGGGTACCCTTGTCTCTGTAGTCTATTTTAGTAGGGGAACCCTCCCCCAAAAAAGAAATGGTAAAAGCACCTAGCTGGGGGACCTAGATCCTGAGTATCCTGCTCCAAGGCTACAAAAGCCTCAAGCCTCGTGCTCCCAGAAGTGAGTAGGGATCCTTACATGAAAAACACCTGAACATTGCAACTTGTAAATGGTGGTTTCCAACTTTATTTTGGTGTTGAAAAAGCAACATGTTTCAAATGGTTGCAAAATGGAGATCTTTTAAGGAGGTTTGTACAGTAGTGGGGCTAGTGAAGAACTTGCGAACTTGGCGTGCTCCCTCCATCTCTCTCTCTCTCTCTCTCTCTCTCTCTCTCTCTCCCTCCCCTGCGTTTCCCTCCCCTCTCCCTCCCCTGCGTTTCCCTCCCCTCCCTGCCCCCCCCAATGCGAGATCGTGCATAGCTTCCGCCCAGCTTTCCCAAAACAGGCCTCCGTCAGCTCGCCGCCAAAGACGATGATGCAATCATCCCGCGCCGCAGCGCAGCTGGCCTCGCGAGAACTCGCCAGCGAGCAACGCCCACAACCACAAACCCACCCGCGCTTTGGGTCGGCTCCAACCAAGGGCTCCCGAGCTATTTCCCCTCAAAACATCACCCCCATAAAGGGCAGCCCCTTCGTTTAGAGGCAAAAAAGGTGATGCTTAAAACCACCCCAAAATGGGGAAATCTAGGGACCCCCTCAAAAAAAACGGCTCCGAGTCTGCAGCGTATCTGGGCTTCTGCATTGGAGCCACGTCCTGGAGAGGCTTGAGCGCTCCGTCTGGGAAATCACCATGGAACTATCATGATCTAACATAGGAACTACAAGTCTTTGAATAGTAAAGCACCCCTCTTGCCGGAATACATATTGCTGAGTACTGGCAACACTCGAACATGAAGGTGAACTCTCGTTGAGCAGTGACACATATGTTTTGATGCAATCAGACAAATTTTGGTTTGCAAAGCGTATTGTCCCGTCCTCCTTCAGTTGAATCGTTTGGTAGATATATTGTTTTAGCGACCTCAACCATGTTTCGCTATGTTCCACTAACTGCCATTGAACTCATTGGAGCCTCTTTGACACTACAGAATTCAAATCTCGCAAGCACTTCAACACACACACACACAACAGTACTCATCCAAGTCACCTGGCCAGCAAAACTGCGCAAGCACACCACATCTTGCAGGGCCGTGGCTGCGTAGCCGCCAAAGAAGACAAGGTGTGTGGCTCAAAAAAAATGGGATCGGCCCGACATTGCTTGCCCTGGTAAAATGGGGAAAGTAGACTCAAAGCTGCGGTCGCCTGTGGTCGCCCTCTTAAGATTGAAGGCACACTCAAACTTCGTGGTTCGGTCCCTTGGTCCTTCCAACAGCCCGCCAAGGGATCGAAGCACTCCACAGAGCCTCAGTTGATGCGACATGCGCTGAACATTCCCCTCGGCCCGAAAAAAAAACAGACCAACAACAAGAAAAGAAGGAACCCCCCCCCCCCGGAAAAAAAAGGAACAAAAAGGAAAAAACAAACAACAACCAAAGCTTCGAGGCTCAGACTCACAGAGCCAAAGCCATCATTCCCACCCATGACGTAGAGGCAGCCCTCGACAGCAGAGCTACGAGTTTGTTTTCTTCCAAAACACACACGCAAACACATGGGCGTGGGTCAACACCAATGGGATCCCATCTTGGTTGGCAGGTGAACTCATCACCCATTTTAGGCTTCCTATGAAAAGTGGGCTGGATTGAATCGGATCTTCACTGGGGGCTAACCGATTTGGGTTTATCGCCACGTTGAAGAGTGAGGATCTCGCCAGCGCCTGGCACTCTGCAGCTGCTGCTTTGATTCGGCCCACGGCCAGTGCCGGCATCATTTCCTGCACGGCACCCATCGAATCGAATCGCTCTTAGCTTGGTACTTGGCTGTGGCGTCAAATAAACGTACCAAAACGGCTCTTTGGTAAATGGAACCAAAGACTAAAACCTGCATAACCCTAGCTCCTTAATTTTGAGCCACACCCATGTGTAAGAGCCCAGACTGCCCAACCGGATAACCAACATCCCACAGCATGCGCCGCTGTTCCATCACTTTACCCCCAACATGCCCACAGTGAGCGCGCCCATGTTTGAGCACCACGAGGGCAAAAGCGCTGGACATCTCGAAGTGCAACGCCTGAGACCTCTCCTCCAATCCTAGGTCCAAGAGGCTTTCTTGTGACTGAACTAGCACATGCATGCTTTGCAGCTTCGCCCGAGAATATCCGCTTGTGAGAACGCGCTCTACTTCTTGCTAACTTCGATTCGAGTCAACAATTCACCCATTTTGAGCTGCAAGCAAACTTGTGCTCATCTGCCCCGTGCTATGCAGTATATTCGTCCTACAAAGCCTATGCTACGAGTCAAGGGCCGTTGATATGCAAGCCAGCTTGCTCCTTCATCGCAGGAGGAGAGGGCGGCCGCGCGTGGCAGAAGCTTTAAGTCCACGGCAACGCGTGAATATTGCTGCTTGACGAAGACGAAAAGGACCACAAATCGAATGTCTTGAGAATGGCATGCGCGCCCGCGCACCCAAACACAGAAGCCAAGACACAAAGATTCAACCACGAGCACAGAGTCTCCTCGTACGCAAACATGCAGCCAGCAAGACACAGAGGCTCAGGGATAGAAAGACACACGAGCGAACGCAAATGCCAGACATCCCGAAAACAAACACGCATGCACGCACACACCGGAGATGAGATGTTTCTTGCGGAAAAGGCCATCTTTGCGCGACACATGGATTGCAAGAATCTTTCGCAACTTCATCGCCAACTCGCAGTTACCTGGTGTACTTGCGAGCGTGGTAACCGCTTGATGACTGCAACCAGCGCTCGGGCTTTCACGCATCTTTCGGCATGCTATACTGGCCCAGCCAACACTACGGATATGGACCCTTCGGATAGATGCAAGTGAAAGTCCTGCGCATCTCAGCGTCTATGAGGAAGTGGGCCCTGCAACTAAGGTTACAGGTCTCCAAGAAGTACTCTCCGCAGATAATATTTTGCGAGCACGGATGCCTGCAACATTGTTGTCCTCTACATTCTGGGCCCTTACAACCACCTTTTTGCTCCACTCCATGCGTGATTACGCACATACAAATTTCATGATGCGGTGAGCGCAATCTTGTAACGCTCATGCGTTATCCACATCACGCATGTCTCTGCTTGCGTTCTCAGGATTGGGCACATAAAGATGGCTTGCAAAAGCAGCCAAGCAAGTCCCGTGTCTTGCAGTAGGCAGCGGTAGCCTACGGTTGCTCTGTGAGGAGCTTTGCGTCAAGTACAATGCACACTCACGACGTGGCATCATCAGATTTGTTTGTAAGGCACCGACAGAGTCTCCCATGACCCCTCCAAAGGGTCGTAGCGCTCCACCGTCGCGAGAGCGGCAAAGCTGCTATCCAATCCTGCCACTCACAGCAGGATGGCGCATCTGTGCGCGTCAGTCGCCTCCAACCACGTAGAGGCGCTCCCGCTGCAGCTCTTGCATGGCCTTCACCATGGCGTGCCTCAAAGCCTCAGATGGGTATGGGTCAAAATTAACCCACCAGGAATTGGACCGCAGGGTTTGGTCCATGTTTCCACTTACTAGGGTTCCATTTGGGGTACATATTTTTGACCCACAGCCAGATCAAACCCGGGAACGAAGCGGAGCAAGCAATCCAGCCCGTCCTTGGAGCAGGTGGACAGCCGCCCGGCTGATAGCGGCGCATCGGCCAAAGAGCACGCCTTGGACGGAGTGACGCCGCGATGACGCAAGCGCTGGCTAAGCCGCTTGAGCGTGGAAGCCTCTGGGCTGCCAGCAGCAAGAGCAAAATTTGTAGAAAGCGCCAAATCTGCCTGCAGCGGAACAAAAACAAACAAACAGACATGCAAACACGCAAACACAAACACAACCAACCAAACAAACAACCAGCAAGCCAAACAACCAACAAACAAACAACCACGTACACAAACACACGAGCCAACCACTCGTAAGCATGGGCAAGCAAGCAGGCAGGCAAGCGACCACACAAATCACTGAAGAAACAAAAAACAAATAACAAACCAAACCAACCCAAGAGTCCGACTGACCAACCAACCAAGCAAGTCAATTTGCTCCAGAGAGCGGTGAAGTCCATATTTGGACCACAGGGATCTTGCCAAACCTCGTCGCGCGACCTGCCGCAGCCCCTTGGTCCAGCCTTGACCTAGCTCCAGCCCCTCGCCCCCAGACTCCAGCCCAACCTAAGCTAGCTACTTTGGGATTGGGTCAAAAATAGGGTAACCCCAAGATGAAACCCTGGTAAATGGAAACAAGTTTACATTTCAACCTGCAGTCCAATTCCTGGTGGTGACTCATTTTTGACCCAGACCCCTTTCACCAGCTGAGCTCGAAAGCCTCATGGCCAGCTGGCTTACGCTGAAACTGGCGACGTGGGCTGGCTTCGGCTGGCGCAAACACAACAACACCCACAATCAAAACAACAAGCAAACAAGCAAGCAGGCAAGGCAGCAAGCAAGGCAGCAAACAAACAAGGAAACACGCACACACATGCAAAACAAACAATCAATCAATCAAACAGACAGACAGAAAGACAGACAGACAGACAGACAAGACAGTTAGACAGTTAGACAGATAGACAGATACACAGATAGACAGATAGACAGATAGACAGATAGACAGATAGACAGATAGTCAGTCAGTCAGTCAGTCAGTCAGTCAGACAAAACAGATAGACAGACAGACAGACAGACAGACAGACAGACAAAACAAATAGACAAACAGACAGACAGACAGACAGGACAGATAGACAGATAGACAAACAAGACAGATAGACAGACAGACAAGACAGAAAGACAGACAGACAAACAACACAAATAGACAGACACACAAACAAACAGCCAAAGCCAAGCCAAGCCAAGCCAAGCCAAGCCAAGCCAAGCCAAGCCAAGCCAAGCCAAGCCAAGCCAAGCAAGCAAACAAGCTCGGCAGCAAGCAAACAAGGAAACACCCACACACGCATATATGGGAACATGGGCGCATATTGACAGATGCAACAACGACAACAACTCGAAACCCTCATTCGGCGCCTTGCCATGATTCTGCCTTTTCAACAGATCGCCAAGAATTGCATGCGGCTCCATGGCCCCATAGCCTGCGAGCGCTTGCGTTTTCGCGTGGTCGGCTCGATAGGTAGGGAAGGACCCAGTCAGGGGATGGCGTGATAGCATAGGTGGCCTTTTGGAAAAATAGATGGCCCTGGTAAATGGAACAAACACCCATCTAAACTAGTGGAACCCATCTACTGTATATTTAACCTGAATAACCTAAAAAGGGCACCTATGGGGACAGGGTCGGCTAAGAACCAGCAAGCCGTGCCAAACTGCGCATCGCAGGTCTGCAATGCCTCCTGGCCTAGATGCACACCCATGGCTGCTCCACTCTCTGTGCGTCCAGTTCCCTTGAGCCAAGCAAATTGAGCAGCACAAAGCTGCTGGGGGGATCTGTGAAGTTCCCAATTCTAAACTGCAATCTGGAAAGCGCTGGCAGCGCCTAGCAACAATCGGGAGGGGCCTTGACCTCAGACAATGCTCAGTGGGATGACACCTTCATCAAGCTTGCCTGTATCTTGCGACGGACTTTTGTGTTCTTTGCATCGCTTGCGATTCTCCTTTTGGAGGGCCGCCGTCCTAACTTTACACGCAGCTTCTTACAGTTACAGACTGCTACAAGCAGTGCTAGTGTCGCCGGAAACGCCAACTACTTCCAGGCTCGAGTCGGCTTACGCTGGACCTGAGATAAAAGAAGCGCTCCGTCAGAGCTTCGTGCTTGCGGCACATAATTGCACAACTCATGAAGCAACCAAAAAAACCTGCGCCACGCCATCCAACTTACAAACTACTATGATGCTGATTTGTTCAGTCTTAATCAAAACACCACATTTGTTGACCCGGCAATGTCTGAGCATGGCTGAAGAACCACGCTGACGATTTCCAAGCAACACAAACTGCCTGTTGCCCTGCCCACAGCACTTTCTGCAAAGGAATCATCAATCTTTGACGAATGAGTACCTGGAGATCGGTTGGGGTGCGCACACTTTGTGCCGATCTGGTCCTGCTCAGGCTGCCTGAAGTACATACAACTAGCCACCCGGCTAAGGGACACCTGAGCTACGGGCTTGCTCGCAGAACAGGCTTGTCCTTGGTCACTTCTATGGCGCCAAATAGTTTTTCTCACGTGCACGACTTGCTTGCGGCACCTTCTGACTCGTTGGATAGTAGAACTCGCCCTTGCCGAGTTCACAGAGAAGAGTCCCGAAGAAATGTGAAGGATCGAAGCACCGGGCCTTCTTGATTGCCTCTCGCATATTGCAGTCGGCAGATGGAAGAAGTCCATGACCTTGGAACTAGCAAAGCCAACAGCTGCTGTAGGAACATGGGAGTAAACTTGGTTGGTCGGTTGATTGATTGATTGCTTGGTTTGGTAGATTGGTTGATTGATTGGTTTCTCTTAGTGATCTTCACTGAGCCTCAGACCCATCGTGGCTCCCAAGGGCGGTTGCACCAGCGCTCCACAGTGACCACCCAGAAGCGCCACTTTCTGCCTCGCGAAGCGCCGGCGAAAGCGACACGCGCCGCTTTCGCCTTCGCAACTTCGCATCGCGCGCGCGAAAGCGGCGCTTGGAGCTCTAAGCTATGGCCACGCCTCGGGTTTCTCGGCTGGGAACGCAGCGGGTGCGTGCCCGGGGAACCTTACTTTGTCAAGCCTTCTGGCCAGAAAAGACTTGGCTGGTGCGATAGGTAGGCAACCGGAAGGGCATTCCCTGAAAGGAAACTACAAGGGATGATTTATGGAGGTCATTTCAACTCATTTCCTGCTGAGAGCCAGCAAGCAGATTCAGAAGACATTTCTGAGGCGTGCACGGGGCGTTTGACTTGCAGAACGGCGTGGAGCGGTCTGTCAGGCGATGTAAAATCTTTGCAATGCTTTCACAGACCATTCTCTCACTGCTAGGAAGCGCGCTGAGCAACTATCCTTGTGGGCTGGAGATGCCGAAGGAGCCTTTAGTCCTCACAGCAAAGCTCTCAACGCACATGTTTAGATACGCTGTGCAGCATGTGTTGTCAAATCGCAATACTTCTCAGGGCTCAAGCATATGAGATCATGTGAGCCTTTGTTGGCCTTTCTGGCAAAAACTTGAGCATCTCTGCACAACTACCATGTTGCTGGTTCTCAGAAGGGCATGAGGGCATGACCCCGATAACCGATAACCCATCCCCTATGGTTTCTTTTAATGGAGTCTCCTTCCGGTTCATTCCCAACACCCGGAAGGGTCATTCCCTACCTGTCGCACCAGCAAGTCATTTCACATCCACGAGCTGCACAGGAGCTCAAGCAGTAGCCACACCGATCACATGTCCTGGTACTTTGGCAGCAGCACTTCTGCCTTGGCCCCAGCAATTCGCCTGACGGTGGGTAAGCAAAAAAACAGTTTAGAGTCATAGCCCTTTGGGCAAAGGTAAACTAGCAACAAAAGACCTTGTGCTTTGCGCTTCAGCAACTATGTTTGCAAATAAGCAAGCTGCTCAAAAACTAAGCAAGCTCCAGCAATCCGAAGTGATGCACAGCACACACACACACACGCACACAAACACGGGCTGGAACAACCCGCAGCCCAAACCCTAGTTTCGGACACAGTGGAATGAGCGCTGCGTTCTGGCAACCGGAATGCAAACACTGCGAAAACAATCGCTTTGAGGGGCCAAGCAATCTGTGTAGCTCAATACAATGTTCTAGTACATGGGGATTGATAAATATTTCCTTCTGCCCCCAGTTTTGACCATGCGTAACTTTTCCATCTGGTTGACATATCAAATATGTTTAGTGGCTTTTCCACCCAGTGGTCATCCCACGTTCAAACCTTTTGACCCATTTCCACGTCGTGTTAATTGCACTGCTCAGCGCTCTCGTGTTGCGTTCTGCACGCAACAGGTATGCAACATGTAGGGAAAGGAACGGGCTGGTTGAGTCTTTGAAAAGTGCAGCTCGAAGCTGGAGCTGGAACAGCCTACTCTGCCAATTGGCCGCCCAAACTCCTTGAACGCAAAACAGAAGGCTACATCACTACTGTGGATGGACGAACTCCTGCACCACCTGAGACACCCTGGAAGGATGATTCCCTGTAAATACCAACAAACCATGGTTTGCCATGGTTTTCCAGTGGTCCGAAATGGATTTTGTCCATCCACAGCATGAAAGGTCTGAAGCACACATCTGGAACCCAAGGTCTGGAAAGAACTTGCGGCAAGTGATACGTGATCGGTCTGGGCCCCGTTCCACAAATGGGCAAGACACACATACAAAGACCACACACAAATCCGCAGGCACTACGCAGGGAGGTGGAAGCAAACAGCAACAACACAGAACCACGAGCAAGCAGGGGCAATCAAACACCAAAGACAAAAAGAAAGAGAGAGAGAGAGAGAGAGAGAGAGAGAGAGAGCGACAGGGACGAAAACATAGAGCGTGAGAGAACATGCCACACAGCACCTGCCGAACAGCACCAAACGTCCCGGTTGCAGCAAGCATGTGCAAGCATGCCTCCAATATGTATGGTTTGGGGTCAAGGATTGGCGTTTAATAGTATAGATTGGCACATCAGATCAACCGGATCATGGCGCAATCCGTGCAAACGAACACAGCCAAAACTACTCCACACGTAGAAACCAACTCTAGAATTCCAGACATGTCGTCACACTCCTCCAATTCTGCTACGGAATGACACAAGCAAGCCCCTGCAAGCTTGATTGCAACATGCTCATGCATGTACTCATCGTCCCAGTGGCTGACAGCAAAGTTGATCTCGACGGGAAGGAAGCCAGACTTTCTGAGCCTTAGCAATGCAACTGAACCACGAGGCATTTGCCTCCGCTCCGTGGAACCGTGGAGCGTCAGGCTCCCGCGTCCCAAGAGATGTGCCGACTTCGGCCTGCAGCCTGCGCCCAAGCTGCTCGAGTGAGTGCGTGATGCGTGGCCAGGAAAAAAAACACTCAGCAGCGCCTTCCGCACGAGGCACCTGGAAAATTCCACATGGGTATTGTTTGGCACCAATTTTGCAGCAGGCAGGTCAGGCGCTCTGAAACCTCAAATTTTGTGAGGCATCGCACAGCCGCTTCGACTGCCAAGGAAGTTAGCCAATCAAATTCGAGTGATAGCATGTCGAGTATCACAAGGTAAAGTCCATGTTGAGGGATGAACTCTTCGTGGCTTCTCTCTAGTTGCATCTCTCGAGGGCAAATGTTTTTTGGGCGACCAAATGACCAAGCCTTGGCCCTTCGTCACGTATCTGGTACAGTCTCCCTGGCCCCTTCTGAAGTCAAAGTTCCAGGGTTATCTGGAACGCTCCCGTAGGAACAAAGCACAGAACGTGGTGTTGGCTCATGTGGAAGGCTGGTTCACGATATTACGGTTGCGGATTCTGGCATGATGCTAAGCAGGCAGACTTGTACAGATAGGGCCAAATTTCCAAGGTGCCCCAGGCTTTGCAGAAGCCGCACAGATCCACGCAGTTGATGTCACTGTAGCGGGGGCCGTGCTCAAATTATTGGTGACGGAAGAACGTGCGCAGAACCTGATCAAGTGCAGCGCTGGGATCTTCAGCGACTCCGGGCATTGGTCGTCACGCTCCGGGTACTGCCGAGTCGCGCCAAAGGACATGCAAAAAAAAGAACAGAGGCAAACCCACAGGCGCTCAAATCAAGTCACTGTTTCATAGCAAACGAATCAAGCCAACCAGTCCGCGGTTGCCCGAAGCTGCAGGGCCGGGAGGTCTCCAGCCACCGTCCCGGATGTCCTCAGCAGCCTCATCTGTGCCGGCGTGATGGTGTATATTATATCGCGATGCCAGAAGGCCAGACCATCCGGTCACAACCGTTGGCGGCCTCGGTGTGGTCCAGGTAGTGCCGAGTAGCCGCCTGTGCTTTTAGACGGGGACCAGGTTTTTCAGCTCGCCACCGTTTCGTCCATTCTCGATAGGATTGATGAGCGCAAGGAGGAGCGTCAGTCGCATTGGCCAGCATCCAAACATCGGGAATGTAGACCCGAACACATTCCGAGTCCCCAGAGACCTACAGACCTGGTACTCCACGAGAAGGTGGAAGACAGCGCCGACACGCAGAAACTCTGCGCGATAAAGCTAGACACCATCCAGCGTATCAAGTCACGCAACAAGAGCCAACGAAGACAAGCGCTGCAAATCACAATCAGGCAGCAGCCTCACACTCAGAAGCAGCGCCGGAAAAGGTGGTCCAAGCTGAAGGATTTGTCCCTCTGGAGGACGCCAGCATCGGCAATGACGGTGGAGAGGATTGCGATGGCAGCGCTTTTTGCGGCAAGATGGGACTTGACAGTATCGAGGGCAGTAGTACTTGGTCGATTCTGTGACACCGTGAAAGAGCGAGAAAATTGAGCCCCGAAGAGGAAGTTGCAATCTCGAGGACGGGGGTGGAGCCTTGGAGGACTCCGCTCTCTCTCGAGCCCAGACTAGGAAGCAAGCATCAAAGTCAGGGCCAAGTGAACCCTGGGAAGGCCAGACGACAACAGGAAGCGTCAAAGTCAGGGCCAAGTCGACCCGGCCAGAAGGACGACTCGGCGTCTCGACCGCTCCCGCTTTGGGCACATGCGCGCCTGGTCGTAGGGCGTCTGGATCTGTCTGTGACCCCGGCGCGCTCGCGCTCGACTTTGGGCGACACGAGGTTGAGTTCGGGAACTGGACATGGTCGAGGACGGTGGCAATGGAGGATTCGAAGAAGGAAGAGTAGACATCTCTTGCTTCGGGGCTTGCCAAGTCGGGAAGGCGGGAGAGGTGGCGGAGAGTTGTGAAGAAAGAGCCAGCATAGTTCTGAGTCTGTTCGTCATGGGGGCCTGCCCGGGAGGTTCTTTTGGGCTGTCACGACCAAGCATTGCTGCTTCCCCTGATCTGCAAAGCGCCTTGCCTGAAGCTCCTCTAAGCTTGGAGACAAGTGCTCCTGGCTGAGACTCGGAGTCGACATGTTTGGTCTACATCCCTGCCCCCTCATGCCTGTGCTCCATCCACACCTTCCGCGCTTTCGGGGCTTCAAGATCTCTCTGCTTCAGCTGAGAGCAAGGCTCACATGGTAGAGGTCCATCGCGTCCAGATCGATGCTCAAGGATTGCACCTCCTGGCAAGAGAGCCTGAACAAGCCTGCCGGGGTATCAGGCACCTTTTTGCAGTTGGTCGAGCACAATCTTCTCCATCAGGGAAAATGTATACGTTCACCACATACTTTACAATATATTTTCCTTGATATATGGTCCAGTTCGCGTGTACACTGCTGTTGTTGATTATGAAAGTATAAGGATATCACATTTCAGCGCAATCATCAATCTGCATGCTAATCGAAGCCGTAACTTTAAACACTTGGCCGGACTGGGCCATGTGTCTTGATTTGTTTTTGAACCAAATGGATGTGGGTCAAAACCCCGTACCCCTGGTGAACATCAAAATAGGTGGTAAATGGATGTTCATCCACCCCAGAATGGAGCCATAGGTTATGCCCCATGGCCAAATCCATCTTCTCATCCGCACTCTTGCGACACGTCCTGGTCGTGGGAGCTGTACTCAGGAATCCACCCCTGGTAGACCTTCCAAGCCTTCCAACGTCTGAAGTCTGCAAAAATCTAGGGGACACTTCCATTTCCATTCTAAACCCATCCGGATCTTTCCAGAAAACGATCAGAACTTTAGGGGAACCAGCCGGTTTTTCAACAGAACGGAATTGGAATCAACGCCTAGAAAAGTGGGTTGCGCTCCACGAGTCGAGTTGCAAGCCGGCCTTGTGATTTGGATCATTGGGTGATCTTGGACCCGATTTCTTCCTCGAAGCGGAAAATGCTGACACATGGGTCCTGCCTTTTTTCTGTTGAGGGAACCCCTTTTCTTGGTTTCAAAGGAAAGCCCAGAGGAAGACCCAAAAAAGACACAGCCACACGTGAGCACATCTTCAGTACAAAAAACAAAACCAAAATTTCCCGGCCGTCCTTCCGGAGCACTCCAACACCTGCAAGTCCCATGTGGGCATGCACCCGTCGCAGGAGCCAAGGGCAAACAGAGTCAAGATTTGGCTGTGGCGCCAAAAAACGGTACCAAAATGGGTTGCCCTGGTAAGATGGACCAAAACGTGCGGTTTGCCCCAGCTGTTTAATTTTGAGTCACAACCATTTCGGCTTCAGGCAATATAATGAACTTCTGTTGATGCCGCTTTCTCCAAATTCGGTGTTGGCACCGAATCAATATGGGTGAGGTTTGATACTCGCCTTGTTTCCTACAAAACATATCAGCAAATCCCTTGCAGACCCTGTTGGCGCACCACTCCCGGCTGCAGTCGCATTGTCTTCAGCGGGCTTGGCTGGCCGTCCTCCAGCCTGGAGGCGTCTTGCCAGTTACTCGCAGTTGAGACGCAAAGGCTCCACAGGCCCCCCCAAACTGCCTGACGAAGCCATCCACCACTTCTTCTGGCCTGGCAGTTCGAGACAAAAGGGTCATTCATGTTGCTTGAGAGACGGGCTCTGCTACGATGGTTGGCGGAAGTGATTGCAGTGGTTTGTCCGTGCAACAACAAACCAACAGACCAAACAAAACTGAGCGACATTTGGCTGTGAGTCAAAACCAATGGGATCCCATTTTGGGGTAGGTGAATTCACCACCAATTTTGGAACCTATAGGTGCACCACCCATTTTAGAACCTATTTTAGTGGTTGGGTTGGTTGATCTTCACTGGGGGCTAACCGATTTGGGTTTTGAAAAGCCCATGGCAATTTTGCTACATCGCTCATGTCTTCTTGCGTGTGGCATCCAATTCATGGCACACTGAGCAGCAAGCTGTCGAGGTTGAGGCACTTCATGCGACTGGACACTTTCCTGGCGCTGATTCTGGTGGCTGGCGCGCCGTGACTTTCTAGCGCATCAAATCCTAGAGGCAATGAAAAGGTGTCAACTCGTCCTGAGTCCTCAGCAATGCAACTATAACCCAAGTGCAAACACACACCTGCGACGGCTTCTGTCCTGTGAAGCAATCGTGACACCGCGGACCGCTTTCGCCTGCGGACCGCGCATCCGCCATTATGGCTGACACCTTTATGGGCCCATTGGCCCACCTCCGGTTCCCGGGGCGAGGCCTTGCGCGTGCCAAATGCGAACTTCGACGCGCTTGCTTTGAGACCTTCGCGCTGGTGATGTCAAAGACTATGGAGTTGTTCATCTTTGGAAGCCTGCATGACTCAATCTTCAACAAAATCCCAATAAAAAGCACACGCTGCGCGTTCGCTCCTTTTTGCTGTAGCCGCACGCAACGGCTTGCAAACCACATCATTCCCCTACTGATGAGGGAGAGCTTGACGCTGGAGTGGTCCTTGCGTGCAAAACAAGCAGACACAGTGTGGTAAGACAATACATGACAGGGCCTCTTTCAGCACAGTCTCCAACTCCACCTGACATTTGGCTCCAAGAAATGCAAAGATGCTCTTTCCAAATGCCCACCTGAATGCCTCGCTCTTTCAAGAGTCTTGCTAGCTGCCGGGCGCCTGGCTTCAAGCAAAGCGAAGCGGAGTCGAATCCGTCCGGGCTGTTCAAAATGGAGGCTTGGGCAATCCGATTCTCCATAATCCCTAATCCGGAAAGCCACAAAGGGGAATTGGTTACGTGCACCTTCAGGAAGATTGTCGTGCACGTTTCCGGGCAGTGCAAGACCTTCGTCTTCTCGCTCACCCAGCAGGATCTGAATTGCCACATCAGCCTTGACGGCCTGAGTGCAACAACAACTCGCCGAACGCGCTCCAGACGCCTCAGACAGCCAATTTAGGCATCTTAGACAGCGGAAACACCTCAGATACCTTCATGGAGGATTTGGGGGGTGGCTTTGTGGGGTTTTCTTAAGATGCCCCGGATCGGGCATGACACGTCTTCGCCTACAAACACCTCAGACTTTGAGTCGCGCGACCACCTCCGCAAAGCTGTTGGTGGCCACCTCCTGCAAGATTTCGGGGTCGAAGCAGACGGACGGGCTGCCCAGCACCAATGCGTCAAACGCCGCTGGCCTGAAAGCGACGCATGGCACGCGGAGCACCTCATCAAGCCCATGCTCATGCTCGGCCTGCGAATCAATGTTTGTAGAGCGACGGCAGCGCCGTAACCTGAGTTGGCCCGGCAGGAAAAAAAAAAAAACAAAATACGAAGGAATTGCCTGGCACCTGCCCAATTCATACACTCCCTCTGCAGGACAAATACATCCGAAGAACTGGCGCCGAGCAAACACCGGACCGATGGCTCTTTCAATTTCAGGATGCTGTGCTCCACATAGGGAACGATTTTGTCCGCAAGGGCCTGCGCATGCGTGAGCATTGCGAAACCACCTCCATGTTTTTGCACCACTGCTGCCGTAAACTGACATCAATGACATCCGGATTGCCTCCATTGCTGTTTCAAACACGTGTAGCAGGCAAATACATTTAGACCTAAACTCCTTCAACGCCCAAAAAGTGGAAGCTCTCGTCGTCGCTCCTTTCAAAACTACTATCCATCTTGTAGCCCTGCCTCCACTAAACGGTGCGCATGTTGATTTTGAGCACGACCAGGCTGAATGGCAGGATGGTCGAAGGGTGGAAAATCACGTCGGCGCAGCTGCCGCAAGGCCTATTCAATCTCCGTCACATGCTCCAGCCATGAGTTCAAGGCGAATCATGCTTATGCGTTTTGCACTGCCATTCTTTTTTAAACAATACGCATTGGACTTTCGTGAAAACTAGGAAACAAAGCATTGAGTTGGGGCTTTATCAAAACCCCATGCGGTTTAATCACTGCAGAATCCTTGCTTGAACAAGACGGTTCAGACATCTGCACCTTTGGATCGAAGCCAGCTGCCGACAGCTCATAGAGGTGAGCTGCATGCCCAACCCCAACGACGTAGATCTGCCTCGCAGCAACCCGCAGAAACTTCAAATGGTGACCAAAGAAACGCAGAACACCACCGCGTGAAAACTGATGAGCACAAACCCTCGTTCTCCAAGATTCGGGCCTAAAAGCTGCTTCTGCGCAGTCCTTGGCTCCCTCAAAGTATGATGCCTGCAATTGAACTTCACGGCTTTTAAACGATGCACATGGTGCATTTTGTCTCATTCCTCGTTGAAGAAACACTAACATGGTGTCTGCTCTGCGAGAAAATTAAGTCGACCACCAACAATCATTTACTGCCTTTTTCTTTGTGTTTCCTCTACGTTCATGGGGGCAGCACATTTTCAGACCTATGTCTTGTCGCGATACCGCCTTGGCTCGCACAACCCTCAGATTTGCACAGGCTTGAACAGCAGAACAAATGGCTGACCACCTATACTATCCAGCCCAGCAAGTCACCAGCTAGTCGCTGGCCCACCAACTGGCTAACTAGTATACTTTGGCAGCAAGTCAGCTAACTGGCTGACGCTAGCTCATAAACTGGCCACATTCATGTAATAGCCACGGAACTAGCCAACAACACGAATGACCTAGCTGATCCTTAAAGAAGCCATCACGCCAGCCAGTGAAATCTCTAACTTGCTAACGGGATAGCTACTGATCAGGCAAGTAGCTACCAGGAACTAGCTAACAGCTCATTCGCTTACTGGCAAAATACATTGCTGCTAAATGAGATATTCAGCTGAATGACTACTAAATCATTGCTCAAATAGCTAAGTACGTGACTCTCTAGTAGCCAAGTGGCTTTAAGTGACTAGCAAGCTGTCTGGCGCAACGGCTGCCTAGTCATCTGGCTTGCCAATTGGCAAGCTCACCGGCGAACCCGCTAGCGCACCGGCAAACAAGCTAGCAAACTGACTATCTACATCTCACAGTCACGCAAATCGGCTAAGAGACTAGGCCAGTGGAAGCCTATTTTCAAGCATTTCTACAACTATCAAAGGCTTGGGTTACAGGCAGTTTTACAGGACAACAGCTTATTTGCAGTGTTTTGGGGCCATGTCCTTTTTTTTCCTTTTTCCTTATTTTTGTTTCTTTATCTTTTCTCCTTTTCCGTACCCAAACCCTTTTGTGTGCCTTCAGCTTCCTCCAATTAGCATTGATCAAACATTGATTAACAGCCCTTTGTTGTCTGGTTGGGAGAAAACAACAAAGGGCTGTTAATTAATTAATTAATTAATCTAATTAGCAAAGGACTTGCGCACACGGGCTGTTAGGCTGCAGCATCCAGCCTGGCTGAAGGCGAAGAGCGCAGCCGCCCCAAACATTATGGGCTCCGGGTCCAAGACATAAAATACCTCAAGCGCGGGGCGGGAATCTTTTGTTCTTCTTTTTAATCAAACACATGCCTTTATTTTTTGAGGAACCCCGACTTCTTTGGGTGGTTTGAAGTTGGAACAACACACGGAAGACCACCATTTTTGAGGGTGGGGGCAAAAAAGACAGACCCACCCGTGTTCCACTCGTTTTCGCCGCGTTTTCCGCCTTGACCCAAGGCGCGAGCGGCGGAGCCTTCACCAGCCTAGGAGGAGGCGCCACCAGCAGATCGACGGCCAAGGTTGGCAAACCGTCTCCTGCGGTGGGCGGCTCCTCTTTTGAGGATGCCCTTTTTGGGGTGGGGTTTGAAGGGACACCAACATGACAAGATGCCCTGTTTGGGGTTGACAACCGCGATTCTTCCTTTTTGGGGAGGGGGGGTCCCTACAAGAAGACACCCAGGTAATATGGGCTCGACTGTTATTTTTCAGGCTGGACCCCGCAACACCCGGGTGTTGAGAATGTGGGTGTCTTGTTTCAGGCAAAAAGGAGTTTCCCTTTACAGCCATAAAAGGGTGCCCTCAACAAACAGAAAAACACACCCCAGGTGCTCAGCAAAAAATAAGGGAATGACATCTAAAACCATCCCTTGTGGTTTCCTTTGAGGGAAGCCTGGGTTCATTCTCACATTCCCACTGAGCACCAGCAAGTTTTGCAATGTTTG